CAGTGAACAACATCACTGGGCTTTTAGCCTTCAAGGTGTGTCTCAGGCATCACCAAGGTGGATGTTGGTGATGCCTTTGGGAAAAAGTGCCATGAGGTTTGATGTCAGTGACAAAGAAACAAACCAACAGAGAAGTTTTTTTTCATTACAGGTAGTGCCTAATAGCCTTGCATGTTACATTCAATTGAATGTATGATCCGGTGACCATTTATACTCGCTGTCTCTAGGACAACATTAAGAAGTGAAACCTGAGATTTTGCTTTCATATTCGTAAGGGCCACACTCCAGTTCCAAGCGCATGGATTCATTGTTGGTTTAGGGCAAGAACTCTGTGCCTGAAACCAACACGCTGCCTCTGATGCCTCATGCATCTCAGAGTGACCACTTCAGGCAAAACTGCTTTGCAGATTGTTTCTGTCGTTGAGGTTTGTTTAGTCATTGGTGGCTTTGTGTAATAACAACTTCTCAGTATTATCTTCTGCAAAATAAGGACACAACAGCATACGTGCCCTTAGAGAACCCCATTTGCAAATGTCAACATAAGACAAATAGAAATTTCTTTAAGAGTTCCCCACACAAATGCACTTAGCTACGAAGCACTGTGGGCAGTCCCATATTAAAACCACTGCAATTTGGGGTGCTGACAGTTTCTCACACGCTTATTTAATTATTGTAAAACTGAGATGTAGAGACTATGGAAATTTTTGCTGCATTTTTATTAATGATGTGCATGACTCAAGTTTCCTTACCTTCCTGAGCTGCTACACACCACGGTAAAGAGGTTAGCCTCTTTCCTGGGCTGAGGGAAGGAGGTGGAACAACTGTGTGTACAGCCCAAATAGCACAGATAACAGAGGGACTAACAGTGTGAACATTAACTCTTTATGGTCACAAGCCAAGAAACTTGAGCAGGACCAGAAAAGAGAATACCCATAAGATCACAGGTATCACCAGAACTCTCAAGATCAAGGGCCCAACAAATGTTTTAATTCATACAGACTCCATGGAGAACCAGAAAGAGAAATGCTTTCTTCACAGCCTACTATTAATTGAGGATGAATAACATCTACCTACCCATTTATAATCAAAAGATCAGTAAAGGAATCAAAAAAGGCACAGTCCTACAGGTTAACTTGAAGAAAGGACACTAATAAAGCTTGGGAGCACCCAACAAGTCTGTAGCTGCACGCTGAAGTGATTTGGCAAAGTTACCCAAAAGTGTTCAGCACGAAACAAATAGTGTCTAATCTGTTTGGGACCACTACTATTTAACATCTTTGCTGATGACACCAAGCTGGTGGTGCAGCTGGCAAACTGAAGGGAAGAACACCAACAAGAGTGACCTGGACATTCCAGAGAGGTGGACTCACAAGGGACAACATGAAGTTCAACAAGGCCAAGTGCAAAGTGCTGCACCTGGGTCAGGGCAATCTCAAGTGCAGATAGAGGCTGAGCAGATTGATGGATTGAGGGCAGCCCTGAGGAAATGGAGCCCTGGGTACTGGTGGACAAAAACTCTTTGTGAGCTGGCAGCATGTGCTTGCAGCCCAGAAAGCCAATCATCTCCCAAGGCTGCATCAAAACCAGTGTGACCAGCAGGTCAGAGAAGTGATTGTCCCCATCTGCTCTGCTCCTGTGAAGCCCCACCTGCACTACTGTGTCCTGGCCTGGGATCTCCAGTAAAGGAAGAATGGAGAGCTGCAGGAATGAGTCCAGAGGAGGCTGTAAGGATTATGAGAAGATTGGAGCACTTCTATGAGGAAAGGCTGAGGGAGCTGGGCTTCTTTAGCTTGGAGAAGGTTGCGGGGAGACCTCATTGCAGCCTTCCAGTACCTAAAGAGGCCTACAGGAAAGCTGAGGAGGGACTCTTCAGCAGGGAGCATAGTGATGGGACAAAGGTAATAACTTCAAACTAAAAGAAGGGAAATTTAGATTAGTTGTCAGGAAGAAATTCTTTACTCGGAGGACAGTGAGGCACTGACAGAGCTGCCCAAAGAACCTGTGGGTGCCCCATCCTTGGAAACATTCAAGGCCATGTTGGATGGATGGCCTGATCCAGTGGGAGGTGTTCCTGCCCATGGCAAGGGCTTGGAATTGGATGGGCTTTGAGGTCCCTTCCAACCCAAAGCATTCTGTGATTCTGACCTGACCCATAGCGCTCCACTTTGAAGGCTTTGCAAGAACTGTGCTCCTGTCTTCAATATAGTGTTTAGCAAGTATGCGGGTAACATAAAGAGCTGTGTGGCTTCTGCTCTTTGCATTCGTTGGAAACTCCTTTTATCAAAGTTTCCAATAGAAGCTTTCCAGTTTAAAAACCTTGTCCCCTTCTGGATGTCACTTCTCATTCTCTCCAAACTCTCTAATTACTGCTTCAGTGCATCTTCCCACCACCCCTGCAGTGTCTGTGAGAGCCACAAGCTTTCTTTTCTTCCTTCCTGTCTTTACTTATCTCTCACAGTTAACACATTGAGCCAAAGCTTCCTGCCAGCTGCTCACAAGTTTGCCAGACTGCTGCAGGCTGTCTTCCTGCAAAAGCTGAATTCCAGCTATTTCTTCCAGCATCCGTGCTGGAATTGTTGGAGTTGGAAGGTACCCTGGAAGGCCATCCTGTCCAACTGCCCCCCACTGAACAGGGACATCTACAACTCAGTCAGATGCTCAGACTGATCTGTAGTATCTCCAGGGACTTCTCTTCATCTACTTCCTTTCTGGGCAGCCTGTTCCAGTGCCTCACCACCCTGGTTGTGAGAGACTTCTTTATGTTCATTCTAAGGAAGCAGACCACCTCCTGCATCAGTCCCTCCTATCCACATCGAACACAGCTGACCTGTACTACATGCGGGCCCATTACCTTCATCCTTTTCTCTCATGCTTAAAGAATTAAACCTGCACAGTTTCATCAGCTCCATTTCATATTTCCGTATGATGCAATATGTCTTGTGTGCTTATGCACTTTTACAGGCCCTCACCATCTGCCTGCTTTCCAAACACTTTTCTAAAATGCAGGCAGTACTTATTCACCCACCCAGCACCCAGAGATGATTTTTGCACGCCGCAGCTACAACCACATCACGTCTCTGCCCATCCCTCCACTTGCTCATTACACCAGAACCACACGGAATCGTTAAGGTCGGAAAAGACCACTAAGAACCATCCAGTCCATCCACCAACCCATCCCCACCACGCCCGCTAACCGCGTCCCTCAGTTCCTGAACACCTCGAGGCGCGGTGACTCCGCTACCTCCAGGGGCAGCCCTGACCTCTTTCTCCCCTTACAGGCTCCCAAACCCACCCTCCCACCACCCATCCCCTCCGGCGCTGTAGCAGGGCTGGCTTCACGTCGAGCCGGACGGCGTCTCTGGGCTCCGCGCGGGCCGCATCCGCCACCCACCGCAGCGGGCATCCCGCTGCCAGGAGCGGCACGGAGAGATGCGCTGCGCCCCCGCGCCTCCCGGCCCCCCGCCCCGCGCTGCCTTCGCCCCCCGCGGCACCTGCCGGGCCCGGCCCGCCTCCCCGCCGCACCTGAGCCGGAGCTCGCCGCACGCCGGACCGGGGCGGCGGGGGGAGGTGCGGGGCGCGGCTCCGAGCGGGGAGCAGCGCGGGCGAGGAAGCGCAAGCGCCGCCGCTTTCGGTTTCATGGCAACCCCGGGGCGGGGAGAGCCCGAGGCGGCGGGGGTTGCGGGGCGGCCCGGGGCGGGGTAGCGCGGCTGCGGCTGGAGCTGGGGAGGCGGAACGGTGGGGGATGGCGGGAGGGGTCGGCTCCTCCCCTCCTGCCGAAATAAAGCGTATCGCTGTTATTATCTTTAGGAGCGTCCCGGTTACTCGGGGTTCCGCCTGTCTGGGAAGTGCACGGGAGCACCGCTCGGAACAACTGGCGTCACGTTGCTGTGAGTAAACGCGTATAGCGGTGAAGGAATAGATCCTATGCAGGTGGGGTGGCGCTCCTGATCTCCATCCTACCGACAGACTTTTCAGCTCCCCCGGAGCGCCTCTTCCAGGTACCGCAAGGTGTGCCGAGGGGCCACCGAGCAGCGGGTCGGACCTTGCTGCCACCGCAGTTCTGGAGAACAAAGCAGCAGGGTGCACGGAGATCCTCATCTCGGGGTTACGTGGGTGTTAACCCGAAAGGAGCCTTCTGCACCAGTAGCAGCAAGGCTAAAATAGTTTTGGTGCCCGGTTCTTTTGGTATACAGAACTACACGTAAGCAGATTTATTTAGTCTTACTTCAGTACCTATTTTAGGATGTCTGTTATTACAGTGGGGCCAGTTGCTTGTAAGTAGCATGGATACTGCTCTCTACAGTGTCCTTCTCCTCTTCCCACCAGAGTATAGACTCTTTCTCCCTTATTCACTAGTAGCTCAGCTAGAATTTAAGTTGTGTTAGGCTGTAATTGGGCATTAAGAGGTATTAAGGATTATATTTTTGTTCTGTACTTCACATAGAACTCCCTGTTCTCAGAGCAGATCTCTGCCATGCCCATGCCAGCTTCCAGTGCACCCCGAGAAAGGAAAACAGGTTTTTCTGCTTTAACCCTGGAGAGAGCTGGAAGCCCATCATGTGTATTACAATGCTCCAGTTCTATTTAGCACATTTTACAGTGTGCCATTTTGCAGCGTAGCTGTGACAGCTGATTATTCCATTTCCTTTTTGTTTGGAAACACAAATTGATCTACATCCTCTCAAGAAGTTCCTCTTGGACCTGGCTTTGCTCTGTGACACCATTCCTGCCAAACAACAGTTCTCACTTCAGCCCATTCTCTTCCTTTATCAGCAAGAGGCTTGGCCCTTTTCTAGTACCTTCATCCTCTTCTCTTCGTAATCCCGTGCGATTCCTACTCAGGCTCCCCCCTAGGTAAGCTACAGCCTCATGGTTGCTGGGGGCTGTGAACTTTCCAGAAGGAGAATAAAGACAAAAACCAAAACTTAAGAACACAAGTCACGGTAATTCCTTTCACTCATCGTCAACTGTGTAAGAAATTAAACTGCTGTACGATGACGTGCAATGTTTAGTGATTGATTTTATTAATGCAGGAATACCTGCTTCACTCCATACCCATTCTGATTTAAAGTGCAACAATTAGATCTGATATTTTTGTACATCCATACTTTGCAAGCGCTGTTCCTCAGACGACGTAGTTCAAATTATGCCTTGCAGTTGTAGAACCTGTCAGTTTTAGTACCGTTTTGCTTTATTAACTAAAATAAACTGTACAAAAAGCTGTAGAGTTACATTAGCTTTGAACAATGTCGGATACACGTTCTCAGCCGAACTTTAGTGTGCAAACATTTTACATTTTTTAAAGTGACAAAATTAAGCCAACCTTGAAGTCAGAGTTCATTACTACATTACAAAAACAGGAGACGAGATATGGCAAAAGAAATTCCCCACCGAAATCAACACCATTGTATAATTTTATTTCTAATTCTTAAAAAAATAGAAATGAATTTAGAAGAGAATCACAGTATAAGGGCCCTAACATATTAGACTATTACCAGGTACATAAAAATAGAAGACACAGATTTCTTTGAAACTTTAATCCTTTGATTAAGCAGCAAGCATATCACTCTCCAGGCAAACACTGCTTAAAACAAACCCTACCCCCAAAAACAGGACGTGCAAACTGTATGCACATACTCTGCAAAGCACACAATAAAGACATTTTGCTATGTACATACTTATTTAGTACTACAAACGCTAGGAAATCCCTACTGTGTGCTACAGTGTTTGTAAAGGAAGAAATACTACCCATCTCTGCCCCTCCCACCCCCTTCAAATACAGCACCTTTGCCCAGTTATAGAATATTTAAACAAGATTAAACTGAATTACAATGTACTGAACAGTTTTATAGCAGTTGGTGGCGGCCAACTCTACTGCAACACCCAACATTCTGCATACTGAAGTCTATTGACGAGACAAGACAAAAATTAGCAAAGGTACAATACACACACCTGGGAGACTCAATGCTTAAAAAAAAAAGAAAAGTGAGAAGTACTGGAGATGTGCCCTATCCCTGCTAACAACTGAGATACGTATGGATGTGGAAATGGATTTCCTATCAGTTTTAAAAACCCGTCTGGGAGCAGCCAGATCCGTACATGGCTGTTGAGGGACACTAAGGACTTCCAGAACAAACGATTCAGCGATCACACGTTCCTCAGCACTTTGTTACAGTGCTGCTTTTCTCGGGAGAGAGGTCATCTGATGCTCACATAGTGGCTAAGAACCTACTCTGATGCAGAAGAAAATTCCTAAGAAGGACCCCTTGTATGAGACACCAGTGCACTGCTGAAAGCTGTACGGAAAGAAAATTGAGTTTGATCTGAAAATATTTGTGAGCTTAACCATAAAGGTGAACGCTTTAATTGCAATTCAGGTCACAAATATAAATCCCTAATACTAGATTTACAAAGGTAATAGGATCTGGTGCTGTAAGAACTTTCCTTTGCATAAATGAAAAGTCTTAGCCAACTGCTAACTGGTGGTCAAACCACCACATTATCTGCAGAAAGAATGAGGGAGAGCACATTCCATTTTCAAATGTAGTTTCATCTGAGTCATGGGCAAATCAAGCTAGTAACACAATGGATTTAAAAGGACTTTAAACACCAGGTATAAACAAATAATTTTCTAGAGCAGCATGGCAGTTAGCAATGCAATGTTTTTCAATAGCTTGACTCAGATCATAGTTTCAAATGCTGGTACTGAAAATTGAAGCCTGGTTTACTTGGAAGGGAGAGGCGTTTGCTTTAAAAACAAACCACCAAAAGAACTACTGCTGGGCATGAATCAGGGTTTTAGACAAGAAAAATGTAGTAGTAAGTACCATGGAAAATAAACCCCAATCTTTTATTCTCCTAAAATGGGGCAGCCATAATTGATACCCAAATGCAGGTTTTGCTAGTGAATAAAACAAAACAAACCATGATAGCCGTAAACCCAGCCCGCAGATCTGCCAGCGATAGCAGAAATCAGACATTTAACACCGGGCAGGCAGGCAGCAGAGAGCCCTATTGCTACGTTACTCTCCTACCACCCTCAGCCTCTGTACATCCATCATACATCCTAGGCAAGATATCAATGATCTCGCGAATACCAACGGTGAGCAAGATGTTCTCAGAGGACTGAAATTCTGCTGTACTTAGATTAGAAGGGTCAGCAGAAGAACTAATTAAACGGATGGTTCTTGCTAAGCAGTTCCTCTGCTGTCATCCCCCTGGGTGCTGGCAGTTGCTGCCTCTCCCCAGCCCAGCCTACAAGGGAGAGTGCAGCAGGAAACTGGACTCCTGTTTCCAGACAGCTTCTATGACTAGAACACATGTGATGTTTAGTATGTTTGGTACAATAGCTCACTGAGTTTTCATAACACACTGGAAGAGGACTATTCAATAAGAAAGTACCTTTTTTAAACAAGAAAAAACATTCTGGGAAAAAACATTAAGAGAAGAATCATCTACCTTTTACAATTGCAAGAAATGCTTCTACAGATATCTAAGCAGGGCCAAAAATTCTGAACCTAAGGCCATTAGGTTTATTTTTTTTTCTCCACTAAAAAGTAAAAAATAAAATAAAAATTACACACAGAAAACCACTACATTTAAGTCTCCTACAATATTACTTATTCCTAGATTTGCCAGCCTACTTTCTTGTAGTTAGATGCTCGACTACAAAGAACCATAATAAAATAAATAGAGTAAAAAAATCAGTTAAATGAAATCCTGGTGTGTTGAAAATCGACTCATGTATGAATTTAGCTTCCTTCGACAGTTATTCACATAGAGGAGGGCTGTGTATTGTAGGCATTGTTCTTCTGTACAAGTCTTCTACAAAAAATATTTTTACACAGGTGGTCATTCACGTGGTTCCAGTACTGGTTATTACCTTGCTCCTCTGTAAGACTGGTCTGCTACCTGTGAAGGCTCGCTTTTTTTCTGCTTCTTTATTTTGAAAAGGAAAAGTACCTTGATGCAGTCTTTCAGATGTAGGAGTTAGCATAATTCTGCTTTATTTCTTCAGTGCAGAGTGGACTGGGATTCTGTCTGAATTCCAATCAGTGAGGGTGGCTGCTGGCCGCTAACGGTGGTCAACACCGGCCTTGGGTTCAGACGGGGAGGCATGGAATTAGCTGGGCGGATGAGCGGTGGGGGAGGCTGATTGAGAGTGGGCCTTGGCTGAATAAATCGCGCCTGTTGTTGGAGCGGCGGAGGCTGACGGTGGAGAGCAGGAGCTGCAGGAAGCGCTGGACGAAGTAACGGGGGTGGCTGATTTAAAGTTGCCAAGGGAGCGGTAGGAGCTGGAGCAGATGCCTGCGCTGGAGGTGAAGGGCCTAAACACTGAGTGGTCGGAGTGCTTTGCGCCTGCACAAAGGACAAAGACAAGATCGCGTGAAGAGCCATCCCAGCCGGAACGCAGTGCCGATGGGGTTGCCACTGTCCACTACACAGGAAACAGCATTTAAAAAACAAAACCGAAAAACTGAGAAGTTACTGAAAAGAAATCGCCAACCAAAATATTACAGACGGCAGAACTAAAAATATCTATGAAGCAAGAGTCTTCTTTCTAGAACAAGAACTGTATTTTAACAATAAAACAGTAACGTGATCGTCACTATGAAAGGTGCGGTCCTGTTCCCAGCGGGTTAACGACATTGGCTGAAGTTCTATGCAAGCTTATCATCATTCTTTAGAATGTGGTTTGCCACTCCACACCAGTTAACCTTACATTACATCACTAAATAAAATGCTGTTCCTCAACCCATGCTTACTTATATCTGGTACACAAAACACACCTCATCTTCTTCATCAGTGCTCTTTCCTGATGGCACATTAGAAGTATTTTTTGTGTCCTCCCCTAAAGCAGAAGCATCACCATTAGAAGCCAGGGTTCCTTGTTCCGCTTCCCATTCCTGCAATACCTCCTCTAAGTTAAACCGACGCCTGTAGTTTACAAAGAAGTTCTTCACTTGGCCAACAGTCTTGTTGCCAATTACATCTGCAATAGCTTGAAAATCTTTACCATATTTGCGGACACCTGGAAGGCAAAGTAAATAACATAGCTGTGAAGGATCAGTCAGACACAGCTACGTGTGATGTATTTATAGAGATCCTATGGGAGCTGCAAACCAGACTCACTAATTAGGAGGATTTCTCAATTAGGAGAAGGCCTCAATTTCCATTAAGACAAAAATATTTAATTGCATAGCTATCAACACATAAATCAAGAACTTTATTAAAAGGTCATTACCCACTCTTCTTAAAAATCCTGGCTTACTCACCAAGCCTCCCAGCCTAAAACCACAGAGATCTGGCCTCTGACAAACCAAGTAAATCAGTGTGCTTGGACTAAAGGCAGAAGCCCAAACTAAATTCTAGAAAGGAGAGGGAGGGTAACTGAATATATGTGTATAGCTGTAACAGGGTACAGTACTAGAAATGCCAAGTGGCAAAAGTTGACACAGCTTTTGTCGGTTCCCTCCACACCAGCTGCCCACCACCTGTGCAGTAGCTGGTCAGCAGGAGCGCTGAGCACAGGGGCACAGTTCTGTACGTCACCATACACTGCTTATTCCTCCACTTGTGACACGCTGTACTGGGGCTAAAGAGTAATTGGCAAGCATTCACTGGACAAAGTCGTTTTAAAGCTTTCATTCACCATTCAAGCTGGGTAAACAAACCTGGGGCTTTGGACAACCACCTAGAAGAACACAAATACAAGCAGCCAGTGGTATCTGTGTCTAAGATAGCCTAGCACCAGCCTCCAGGATCAAATTCTGCAGCAAGGAGCAGCGGGACAGAAGATCTTTGCATTGTTCTTTTTACCTGTTTTTATGTCAATATCAATATGTTATCAGCACTCCACAAGAAAACACTGCTGGTCCTTTCCAAAATCCCAACAACGCTTTTTAAAGTTCTAAAATGACATTTGCATATTATGTGGCCAAAAAACAAAAACAAAAACAAAACAAAAAAAACAATTTTGTGGTTTAACACTAAAATTGGAATTAAAATCTGAAAATGTTGACTATGTTTATTTAGGGCATTAGTTTAGTTTCTCATGTCGCCTGCTTCAGGAGAACATCCTCATCCTAGAGCACAGTTGCACAAAGTTTGTTTTTAATCGCAAGTGGCCAGAGGTGTGGCACCTAAAGAAATAGAATGTTAGGTGGATGTACTCTAAGGTACTGCAAGGCTCTCCAGTCTCAATAAATAGAAGACTATTTCGCTCTTAGCTATGCATGAGTGAATTACCATTTGACTTCTTATGGGAAGCTCCTGATAGCTACAGTGTTTAGAGGACAGGCACTCCATCTCATCACAGAGCTGACGTTTGCTCCTGATTTCATGTGTGGCTTCAGAAAATGAAATAAAATATTCAGAAAAGTGAGAGTTGTTTCAAATCTGAGAGCTATGTATCTTTACAACTTAGACCTGTTAAAAGAGTATGACCTTCATCTTTCTCTGATGTTTTCTATTGTCTTCATTAATAGGCACTCCTGATGTGGCACTTACTCTCACAGCAATTTAAGAGACCAGTTCAGCTCTGGGATAGTAACAATTAGTGCAGCTGAAGGTGATGTTACAACTGTCAAGAGCTTGGCAACATTACAGTTTTTTCTTGGGCACACAAAGGAATCCAACCACTCTGGCTGCCAGAACCTCAGAAAGGAAACAAAAGAATCTAGCAGAGAACTCCTGGGGGAGCACACAGGTTTCTGGGCAAGGCAAACACAGGAGGGATTTGGCTCTGCATCAAGTATTAGTTAAACCCCTAAACAGCTGCATGAACCCACTGAGCACTCCCTCCCGTGTTTTAATATCCTTGGATTGCCCTACCATTACCGCTGTAATTTATAATGATCATGAAATGTCTACTGCAACTTATTTACACGCTGTAGAAATTATCCAGTGAGCAAAATGCCCAGCAGAACAAAGCACATTTTTGTTCAGGAACTAGTTCAGACTTCTAGCAATTTCAGGGTTGTCTGTTATTAAGCTGTCTATACCTCCCCTTTACCTGCAGAGCTGAACCTCCTAGCTAATTTTAATTGCAGTTGACAGAGACAAGCCTACTTCCAAGCAGACAGTTTGAAAACAGTGCATCGTGCCTTCAACTGAGAACCCAACTATGAGAAACATCTAAAGAAAAGCAAACGTCAGTTTGCTACACACAGCACTACCCATCTTGGACTTTTCAGAGTGTTATTTAGCACTGCTATAGCACTGCCGCAATGACTTTATCTATAAGGATGTAATAAAGCACTTCTACATTGCATCAGAAACAGAAATTCAGTATATCTTTTATGACATTTTTTACACATAAGATGTTGGCACATCTGTAAGTGTTGATGCTAACTCATCATTTTTTTCAAATCTGAGGACATTACATGCACATCCTTATACAAATTCTGTGCCAAACAGCACCCAAATTATTTCTGAAGTATTTAATATAGTATTTAGTAAGAATAATTTTATTAGGCTGCTGCAAGAGAAATTCTAAATTCTAGCTGCATAGCCTCTCTTCACAGGCATGAATGCCTCCCCAAGAGTTCAACTGAAACAAGCCTTGATGGTGGGAATCATTCAACCTTCTCTGAACTTCCCCAGGTAGGAGTTTGCACTTCAACTTATGCACGCTCAGCAGTGTTTCATCTTAAGATGTCTAAATCAAAGAAACTCATAAAGCTAAGTCTTACATTGCCTCTGCTATCCAATGCTGCGCAGCACAGCAAACGATGCCAGACACACAAAAACATCAGCTTAGGCTCAAACAAATTAACACAGCATCACAATGAGGCAGAAACAGTTAACCACAACCTCTGTGTTACAACAGCCACAGTTACAATGTAGTATCATTATGGTACTCCTAGCAACTAGCTTACTTAGGGTTGGATCTTGGTTTTCCTAACTATTTTCCACTGCGAAAATCAAGCCTGCTTTTCACTTCAAATTTTGCTCTTTTGAACAAATCTTAGTTTAAAAAGATGACTGCGCTCGCACATTTCTGTACACAAATAAAGTTTGTAAGTTAACAAACTCACATGGCAAACTGGCCCACTGCATTCAATGACTATTCAGACAAAGTCAAACAGTAACTTGATTAATACTGCAAAAGGTTGGCTCGAAGATCTAAAGTCTGAGTTCTTGATCCCAGTGGAAGCAGCCATGCTGCTTTTAAGATTGCACACACTCAGCTCTATTCTTCTTCTTTTTAATGTCATCTCTTTGTTCAGTTACTGCCAATCTCCTGAGATTAGCCCACAGACTACAAGGATTAGTTCATGTTTAGAAAAAAAAAACACAGAACTAAAACTGTACTATAGCAGATAATTTTTCTGATTCCATGGTAGGAATTAGAGAACAAATTCCAGAAATGTCACCTACCTGCTTAATGCTGATCATTTTTGTAAATTTATTGAACTATGTGCCAAAATACATCAATGTCTTTGATGAACTGAATCAATTTTAAGTGTACAAACTATATGTCCCCATGCTTGGGTCCTTCAAACATTAGGCTTCTAGTTCTAGCAACTATTTTGAAGGAAGGGATCAGGGGCCGTGCTGTTCCTCAGCCTGGGGGATGGGATGTTAACACTTACAACAATCATATGCTGGGAGGGGATAACAGAGAAAGATGGGATAAAAATATTCATGCTAAGGTGTTCTCCTTTCCCCGTATTAGATAGTGGGCAATGAAAGACTCTATAAAGAAAACAATACATAAAGGAAGATCACGGAAATTTGGTGAAAATGGATTTCTTCCAGTAGGCTTCTCATCCTATCCTTAAGTATTAGAGCTAATTGTCTTTATAAAACATTCTGTCAAGGAGAGACTGGAAGACTAGAATGCCTCTCCAAGCAGTTGCCATCAATCCTTTCTTTTTTCTCCATGCTCCAGTTTTCTCATTTCCATTATTGGTTACATTCTGCCATAGCTGAGCAAAAGCTCAATGCATTCTTATTACTTCCCAAACAGTTCCTCCTTGGTTAGAGCTCTAACAACTAAACTCCGAAAATGGAAGGTGGTATGAACCCATTTACAATGAACCTGGACTTTCCTCACTTCTGCAGCAAGCATTCTACCTACTAGAGTATCACATCAAAGACAAGCACCTCCTCATGTTGCATTTGGGAAGAAAATTAAATTTTCTTAAATTTAATTAAAAATTAAATAAAATTTTTAGCAATACTGAAGGAACTTAGGACAGAAAACACTTTGGAGATGCAAATCCCAGTTTCAGAGGCACCATTCTCTTCAGCACTTCCATTCACATTTTGAAATAAGCCTAATTTCAGGTTCATTCACCTGGCCAATAACTACCAGGTACGTACAGCTGGCAACTTTATACTGATACACTGATCAAATGGAAGTTTTTTTTGTACTAAAATTGAATCTTTCAGTTTAAAGGAGGTGAAGAATACAGGGATACATCATATATGCATGTAACCGAGCTGATCTGTATTTTTTTAGAAAAGATGATCAATAGACATGAATCAACATATAATTCAAAACAGTACCAGGCTCTCTAGATATATCCTTTGCATGATTCTTGATTAGGCAGTGCATGTTAAAGCAAGACAAGAATCAATTCTCCTTCGTATAAATGAAACTGCAAATTAGCCACATCAATAAACTACTAGAAATTTTTGGAGTTTTCTCCTCCAATGAGACTGTTACATTAGCATCCACTCAAGACTATTACAGGCCCCCAGTGGGTAGATATCTGCTCTTTTATTCCCTTACAAACAGAAAAAACCAACTGTTCTTTGCTGTAATTTTACTTCTGACTCTTCCTACTTCAAGGATATGGAAAGATGTCTTAGAAATGTTTGCTTCAAATGTCGTTACTCCAGCTAGTACCTCAGTCTTCCACTTTGTAGAAATTCGTGTAAGGTTTTTTAGAAGGTGATTGAAGGGAATTTTCTGTATTAATACAGCTGTTAAACCCAGCTTATCTTAAATCTTAAATAGAAAAGCTAAGTGAAAGACTAGTGATGTGATGCTTGAATGAATATGCTAAACATTCTCACTACTTCTGTTGTTTTCCCAGTAACTTCCTTGTAAGACCAGGTAAAAGTCCAGCTTTCTTTAGAAGGAAATATAAACACATGCCTGAACACCTCTTAGAATCCTTTGCATCATATCTCAGGTCACTACTACTATTAACATACCTTGTACTGCAAGAAGCTGCTCTTCTGTGGTCCAACGGGCATTGATTTTCTGATTAGACTATTAAAATTAGAGAAATGGCACAAAGATCATTAAAATGTTTCAACAGCTGTAAAATATCTGAGCATTAGAATGTATTTTAGTTGCATTACAGATTGTAACATAAGGAAAAATCTCTTGCATATAAGCCATAAATTTATAGTTTTGCTTTTGTGAAGAGGAAGTACCATTTAAGGATTTGAGCACAGGTCTAAAGCAGAAGAAAAGCTACTGCTGTATTACAGTTCCTAATTTTACCTCCTATATCAGAACTTGTGCACAAGCTAATGATCTTTATGCAGACAGAATTTGAATTCATAGTTAAAGGTACCTAAACTATTAGAACTTGGCATTGGGGGTCTTTTACATTCGCATTATGTCTCATATGCAAGGCTTTCAAACAGCCAGAAAGAAAACTTCTGTAGTAATCTATCATTCACTTCAAATGCCCAAATCTTACGTACACTGCTGTTTTCACAAGCAGCACAGAATTTACTGCTAGCAGTCTACATAAACCACTTCTAATCAGAAAAATGAGTCAATTTCATCTCCCTGTTGTCATAAACAGATACTACATTTCAGTTTCTTCTGCTTATTGGCTCTGCCAGTAAACACAAAAAAAGCCTACTACTAATTCCTTATAGAAGACTGGACAGACTCACCACACCATGTTATTCAATGGATCCTGTTTAAGCTGCTGCTGAAATGCAAACGCTATGCTGCAGCAAAACATTTCTGTAGCTTCCCACTAATGTAAGTGCAAGGCCACAAGTTCTGATATTTATTCTGATTTACCTCAGGAGGTTTGAATTCTTCAATCCCGCCTTCCATTTTCTGTTTAAGTGCACTGTTTACTTGCTTAGCATTTTGAACCTTGGTCAAAAACAACAAAGTTAATCAGCTCCACAAAGAAAGTTGGTCACTTTACACATATATCTTCACTAGGATTGCCACAAGTGTACCTCCTAAGTTAGAAAGAGAAATATTACGGTTTAAGGCTTCACTACTTTTAACCATTTTTTAAAAAGTAAAAAAATAAAAATAAAAAGAACAGCACAGTTCACTACAGAGAGAAAAATATTCAAGCCGGTTTTTCAAAAGAACAGGTTGTCTGCAAGAATATTAAATGAAGGACATAAAACACAAGTTTTGATAATGACACATCTGTTCTTGAAGAATGCTGCATATACTAGACACAAAATTCAGTTCCTGGATTTGTAAGAGAGATGTACTGTATAGGCAAACTTCTTCCTTCTCCAAAAAGTACTTTGAAAAAGAAGAAAAGAAAAAGTATGAGATGTTTCCAGTTAGTTGCTTATGACAGACTGCTTTTTATTGATCTGTGGTTGTGATTCCCTTTATGGATGCTTGTTGGAATTACTGAAAACATGTAAACAAAATGCCTTAGCCTATAGAAAGAAGAGAATTTCTAGATTGTACTTATACCTAGGTATTTATTAATATATCTATGAGCCATTGAAGCCTGACAGTGATGCATGTAAGGTAACATAGTAAGAATGTAGTTTTGCATACTGTGTTGCACATTTATTACAAGAATCAGTGTGGACACAAAAGCAGATGGCTCAGTAGCAGATTCCAAAGGCTGCATCCCTGAGATCACTGCAAGAAAAGAAGAGAAAGAAACCTCAAGGATGTAACTCACCTACACTCAGGTTAAAGAGTGAAACCCAACTATGCTATTTAGTCCCAAAGTCCTGCTGTAATAGAAAGAAGCATATTTATCCTGCAAAAGAATACAAGGGAGCAAAAAGCCCAGGAAACCCTTTGTTTACTCCATGGTTTTGCAACATGGCAGCTCTTAGCTTCTTCGTCTACATAAGAAGGCAGAAATTCCAGGAGATAAGCCTTGAACTTGTAGCCACGTCGCTCCCAGGAAAGCAAGCATGCACATACTGTTGTGCCCTTAAAAGCTGAATAGACTGTTTCAATTTTAAGTGCCAGAGATTAACTTCTTCATGCAAAGAAGGCAGGCACTACAAGAAAGACTACAGATTTAATAAAAAGCAGAAAGCTCATCAACTCAGAGAAATAACAAGGCCCATGGTTTTTCTCCCCTTATATTTTTATGTTATGTGGGGTACCACAATTTGGAAAACAGACACGATTTTAAGCATAACAACTTCCACCGCTTCACTGGTTGTATTCTCAACTGTTACTTAAGTGTTTTTCCCAAAGTAAAAAAAAAAAAAACACAAAAAAACCTCCCAAACAATTACGACTTCAGTTTTCTCCTCTTCCCAAATAAATACTATTTTTTTTTTCATGTCATGCTCCCCCACCCCTTTTTAAGAGGGTTGTCTTGTTCTACATTATCCACAAAAGCAGAGAAACAAAAAAGTGAAACTGAAGAACAGCTAGTGTCCAGCATTTCTGGAGGTAACTGTGGAACAAAATTAGGAAGACTCACATTAAAGATGTTTCAGATTCTTCACAGGTAATCTTATAATCTACAAAATCATTACAGGAACAAACTGAGATGAAAACAAGACCAATAACCCATGGTACCTGTCGCTTTAATGAGATTAGTTCCATATCCAGCTGTCTAAGAATTGTGTTGGCTGCATTGGGACTACAGGAAACAGCTATCACATCTTCCTGGGTCAGGTACATGCCTTTTGGTGGACGGCATTTGGAACGCTGAGAATGGTGGCGATGCTGCAAGCTCTGATACTCTCTTCTACCCAGCCCTATCTTGCTGGTCTGAACAGGCTGCTCATTATTGCCCTTTAATTTACAAGAAATAAATTATTAAAGAATAACAGCATTTTATACAGAACTTTTCTTAAGAACAACGAATCACATAGCATTGCAGTGTCATACTCAGGACAAAAAAACCCCACACCTCTAACCTAACATCCTTCCCTGCACACAGTAGCCAAACTAAGTTTTGCAGATGAGGTGATGTAGCACAATAGTCATTTGCTGGATAAGTAGGCTTAGAAACATCCATTTTTCAATCAACCTTTTTTTTTCTTTTTTTTTTCCCCCTTGAACATAGCTGAAAATTCAGAATATGGTATAGAAATCACATCTGAATATTGTTGAGAGGACAGGAATCAAGAACTTCTTATGTACACAGAAGCTAAATATATATACTACATGTCTAAACCAAGTAATCAGTGGGTGCATGCCTTGACTTTTGGTCAGTAATGGAGGCATCAGGAGATGGTTAGGGAGAGGAATCAGAGAAAGACTATCAGGACTGGCAAGAATGAACTATGGCGCTTTTCCCTGTTGCAAGCGCTCTGACTTGGAAAGCGATACTGCTGTTTGCTTTTTGAGGGGATTTGAGGTTGGGAACAGACGATGGATTTACTTTTATAAAATAATACTTTATAAAATTCCATGTAATTTAGCAAAGTTAAGCCTTTGCTTTTCATTTCTTTGAAATGGAAAGGGACAGTAGAGAGGAGATAAAGTCATTCCAAGTGCTGTTTTGATATATTTGGACACCTAAGAGGACAAAGTTTCAGCTTTGCCCTTTACGGACATTGTTGCACATCAGCTAGTCTGTATGCATATGGCTCTTACAGAGCAACTGAGCAGATTACCTACAGACCTACTGGAATAGAGAAGGAAAACTGACTCTCCCTGTAAGCATTTTTTCAGTTTGGAGCAGAGCTGAATACCAGAACAGTGGTAGGATTCAGGCTTTTGCTACCCCACGAGGCCCCCCATTGCTCCTCCCTGCTGGCATCCATGCAGGTTAAAAGTAGGTGGTCATCTGATCACAATGAAGAGAAAACAAATTGCAGCAGCCATGATTGTTATCTTCTGGAGCATTAGCACAGATTAGCAAAGAGTATTTTGCTCTTCTAAGCTTGACCTTCTGGCACATCCTCTTCACAGCTAACGCAGTATCTTAATCCAGTCCACAGACTTAATAGAGGTGATCTTAAAAGCACTTAGGATATTTGCTCTCCTTCAGAGTTGATGTAGAGCCTTACATCTTTGACATTTAAAAATGTCAAGGTTAAGTTTACTTCTAGCCCATTTATACAATTTGTTTTCTAGTTCAGCATTGTTCTTTCAGTGCGACATTGCAGTTCCCTTCTGTTCAGTCTGGATTTATAGAGAGAACATTCTTTCAAGTGTTTGTCCTGCCAGGCTCGAGCATTTGGCTTGTTTTAGGTTCGTCTGGTAAGATAAAGTTTCCATTGCTCTTCACTTTCAAGTAGTCTAAGGAAGTACAAGTATGTATATCCCACTAGAAGTACATGATCACAAAATTATCTAATGCAAATCCAAACAGATCATCAGAAACTGCAGACCTCTTCATCCCGTTCCTAGAAATCTATGAACATGCTACTTTCAGTCTGGACTGTGTGACTTTTGACTCAAACAGTAACTAAGGAAATGGAATCAAAAAAGCCATTATTTACAAGCAGCTTAGGCAGTAAGCAAAACCAACAGACTGTAAGAACACTGTTACAAATGGCAGACTAAAAAGTAAAAAAATATCAGGGCTTGTGCCATTTCAAGTCCTAAACAACACATACGGGCAAGTGTATGGGAACTGCTGAGTCACGGCCTGAACCTCTGATTGATCACCTGAGGCGAGCCATGAGTCAGCCAGAGGAGCACAGGTGAAGGCAATTCAGCTGTGCTGCTGGAAGGGGTGGAGCCAGGCTCCAGCCCTCCTGGACCTATTTAAGAGCTGGCTGCCGGTAGGGAAGGATCTTGTCTGGAGATTCCTCCTTCTGGCGTTTTGTGGTGAGCCCAGCATAAGGGTAAGCCTTCCGTTTATTCTCTCTTGTTATCATAGTCCACTTTGCCTAATTCTCTTGTTTATTTTGTGATTGTAACATCTTGATATCCATTGATTATACAGGCACGTTAAAAAACAAAGTGAAATCTCAAACTCTTTTATAGGAAGGGATCTTTGTAATTGTCCTTTATTCCTTCCTAAGGCAGTTAGAGAGAAAAAGTGATGTTGAAGAACACCGCAAAACTCAGAATAGAATCTGGTACCACCAGTCTCTTACTTAGCATCATTCCTGTTAGAACAGAAATGAAGTTTCTTATGAAGTTTTATTAATAATCCCAGATCCTATAGGATATTGAAATTTTATGCCATCTTTCCTCTCATTCTCCAGGAGCACGAATGTTCAAATTTTAGGAAAACCACAAAGGCATTATGTTGATCAAGGAAACAATTGAACATTTATGCACTTAACTGTGCTTTTCTAGTCTTGTTCATCAATAGCTTCAAGTTAGCCCAAAGAAAAACAATAACCTCAGTACACTCTAAGCACAGCACTCATCTATAAAGCTAACAGCAAGTGCTCATTTAAGGAGGCTTTTTTTTCCTGTGCATTTACTAATAAGAAGCATTTCAATAAAACCACAAATCAGTTGAAATGCAGAACCTCGTTGTGTCTTCAAAAGAATAAAAAAAGTATTCTTAGGAAAAAAAAGTCATTTAATTAAAAAATGCAAACATTTAATTTCCAGTAATTCACAACCAGTAAAATTGCAAGCACACTAACAAGACAGAGTTAGGGGGAATGCTGTTTTAAGAGGTAATTATGGTAGTGATAGCATACATCCCTAATGAAACTTCAAGATCTTTAAGGAGACAGTGACATGTATTTGCTGTTCTTTGGTTATAATACATATGTACACATAGTTTATATTGGAAGTGATCAAAATCCTGATCAACTAAAAATCCTGTGATGTCATCAGGCAGTGAACACATAGATGTTAAGTCTCCCTACTGTGAGATTCTTCATAGTAATACAGTCACAGAAAACAAACAAACTGACATTCACCATTAAGTTATCTGTTACCTCCTTTTTGGCTTCTTTTTTGGGATCATAATCGCTATCATTTCCATCCATTGGATGAGGTTCTTCTACATCATCGTCACTGAGGAGAGATGATAAGAAGCCAGTCATTCTAGCCATTTTTGAATCCCAGATATGTATCTTGCTAAGTATTATCTACTCTAAAATATCTAAGTAATCAAGATTTATGGTTATATTATGTGACATTTCAAAGTTACATGCAGTTTTCAAAATAGAGCTGTTACAAACATATTTCCTTATTACTATTACTAGCAATTCTGAACTATAGTTTCAAAGCCACTTGTAAGACAGTATAACTGGTACTGCTGTCAAGAAATTGGTGTCACCTTTTTGCAGTTCAACCACTTGTGTGAGCATCAACACTTACACAGTCAGCTACAAGGCCAAAAATATCCTTTCATTTGTCCAGTTAGCTTTAACAGATCAGTTTTCCAACCACTGCACCAAATTTATGAATAAACACTTGTTTAAGTCTGTGGGGAGCAGAAGAGGACACTAGAATTGGGAAATTCAGGACTACTTTTTCACTAATTTAAAGTGCTTCGGAGAGGGAAAGAGAAAAAAGTAAACCTGCTATTTTAATTCAAAGACAAAAAATCAAAACCAGTGATCTACACAATAGAATTTCTGACTAACATGAATGTAAAAAGAAAGTTTTAGATATATCATGGAAAAAAAAAAAAACAACTTGAAAAGACTTTTACCTTTTTCATCTCATTACCTAAAAAGACTTCAGTCTCTAATTAGCTACTTAAGAATATGACTTACCTGTCACCTTGATTATTTCTATTAGCAAGCTTTCGAGCCTGTCGATCCATCAGACTTGTCCTCGAGCGAGTTTTTTTCCAAGAATAGTAGTATTTTACAAGGCTCGCAATCGTCTTGTCTGGAAGCTAGAAGAATTCATTAACATATTAATACAATTTTTTGTTAACATTCCATGTAAATTATAATTCTGTTCTATTTACACCCATCTTTACCTAACTATCTTAAATGCATGGATGAGACTGAAAGGAGAGATGCATTTAAAAAAAGCTGGGAGGCAGGGCAAGGAGGAACTTATTTTATCAGAGGAGAAAAGCTACATCTTACACAATACATGGAGAAATTATCTTAGATCTTATGTTCTAAGTTGTTCTCAAAGCATCTCTGCAGAAATCGGGACAAAATTTTAGCCCCGTGGGAGCCTTTGTTCTAATGCATCTGAACTTCTTAATGCTTCTGATCAAAATGTCACTTTACCATTTGCTGGATCCTGTGAAAGCTCTTTCCGTGGAAGCTAAATGCTTGTTCAAATAGGACTTTGTCTTCAACTGTCCATTCATCAGGGAAGGGAGTGAAGTTAGGGAGATCCGCAAGGGACTTCTCAATATTGTGTTTATGCCAAAACAACATGCCGAGAGCCTTTGAAAAGAAATAGTCCCTTTTTGGATTTAGTCCATTTTCTATAATGTTGAGAAAAGTTACATTAACACAAGAAAAAAAAAAAAGGCAAACATTTACTTTAAATAAAATTGACCATCAGAAGCCCTTCTCAAAATACATTGGCAATTTTGTTGGCTATGTACTCATAGGCTACAAAATTCTCTTTGGAGATGGTGTGCAGAGTGGGCACATCTGTACTTCATCATTAAAGCTATGATAGTGAGATAATTTAAGGTTGGCATGGCAGCAGTACGTCTAAGGTAGCACAAAAAAGGTTGACAGACTCGAATCTGACCTGCTTTCTTTCTTTACAAGCATGTATCACCTACACAGTTCCATACAGGCCTTCAAGCCTTTATTACCAGCCCACTCAAAAAAAAAAAAAAAAAAAAAAAACTTTTCTGCAGCCAGAGGATCATCCAAAATGCAAGTTTGAAAGTTCAAAGTGAGAGTAGTCTTTCTACAACTCTCCAATCCACCAATAACAGCATGACCACTTCCATGTCACATGCACCTAATAGGAAATGGAAATTTAAATATATGTTCTTACATAGTTTCATTTCTCAATATTCTTAAAGAATTACTGACCGTTTAGACTTACTGCCTGAGAATCAATGACAGATTTGATGCCAAGTCTGGCATGGGAATTTGGCAACACAGTCCACTCAGTTTCAAACACACAGTGCAGACATGATCACCAGTTGTTCCATCAGCTCTCCAGACCCCTTCTAACAACCCAGATATAACAAACCTCTTCTCTTGTTAAAATGGCAACCAACAAGCACCTCTTGCAAAGATAATTCCTGTTTCCCTGAGAAATACAATATTTCATACTATAAGTTGCTTTGAAATTTAGTCCTCTTGTAGACTTATTCTGAGATCCCTAAGCTCCATCTCTTCTCCAACAGAAGCCAAACCACATATAAACATTGTCAAACTGCACTATTCTAGGAATCCTAGTGTTAGCAGCATCTTAGGATAGCACTAGACTTGATGAGCATTAAGTCTTCACTGTTATGAGCCTTCATCCTCCAAAACTTAAGCAAAACTTAATACAACATGTTCCAACTTGCATACCAATTTTAGGGGGGTAATAGATAATCTCAGTTTTACATAAATTGGCTAAACTATTAAGAAAATTACAACACAACTATGTGCAGGTCAGCAAAATTTTAACCTATACTTCCTAACGAGATGTTGACTGGAGAGTATTAAGAAACATAAAAGTAATCTTGTTTGTTATCCTTAAATGTAGAATTTGATGCTGATTCCCTGTCTCTGGGGGCAAAAAAGTAAGAAGTCTTCAAGTTTTGCTTTTTTTTCCTTTTGTTTTAAATATGCAAGAGACCTTACCACTTCTGACCCTATTGCAACTAATGGTTCAAAATTCTACCACATGTGAATTGGAGAATTAAACACTGAATTTGCAAGCCACTTTCCTAAGAAATTCTTTAGCTAAATATACACACACAATTGCATGACATGCCCAGTGTATCAAGAAACATACCAAACCTTTCAAAAGTGCACATTACAAGCTGAGCATGTCATGAAAACAAAGAGCTCAATCTTTTGCAGAGAATCCAGACCACAACTGTATGCAGATCCATTTAACTGCAGTGTTTGCTGCCGTGCCTGAAGAGAAACAGCGTTAATTAATGGTAACCAAGGGGAAAAAAAGAGTTGTGTTATACTTTTATATTTTAAAAATCCTTTAAATTAGCACTCTCGCTTCACAGCACTTACCTGTTCCACATTGTATCCATGTTTTTCCTTTGCTATTGCTATATATTCATCCACTGTAACAAAGCAATGTCAAAATTATTCTTTAGTACTTAGAATTCTGCTACAAGGCCCCAAAGAATTAGCCATCTAACATGGGAAGAGAGTCTTTCCATGCTTTAATATAATACATAGGCCCAGGTCCCTCTAAACATTAAGCATATGTGTAGCTGTATTCAAGCAAATAAACTGCAATACAACATTTAATTTTTGTGAAGTCTGCACATCAGTTAATTCTCACAGAGGTTCAATTTTTGGGTTTCATTTTTCTTTTACGTCAGAGAGCAGCTGTTTAGAGAAAGGCAAAGTCTTCTTGGAACCCACTCCAAAGAACACAGACGAGTGCTTGGATACCTGGGTTAGCTTTAAATTGAAGTACCTCTGCTGTTCGTATTCCCAAACGTTAAAAATTCGTGTAGTTTATTGTAAGTAGATTCTAGATCAATAATTACACATAGCCTTGATATTGATATAGTTAATGTTAACTAATTTTAAAATTAATTATAACTGCAGCATCAAGCCAATGTACAATACAGAATGCAAAAATTCAATAATCAAGTTATCAACACTGATAATGTTTTTAAAATCATATTTATGTATATCACTGCCAGGTTTGAGCTGAATATCATCTATCATTATGCAGTTAGATCTGATGGAAGTCCTGCTAGCTTTGATCTTCAATACATACTTTATTTTTACAGAAAAAACCTCTTCCCGTTCACTCATTACAGTTCACAATTAAGTGGCAACTAAATTAAGTTAAAAGGAAGGACAATTGAGAAAAGGAAACAATTATATTCTTGCTACTCAAATGAACCAGAGATATTCCTGGCATGAACTATTGCTGCAAAGAGTTAATTGTACCTTAAATGAATGAAGTAAACATTCCCTAATCATACTTGCAGAGTATTTTATTTCCAACTGTTCTGCAGTGGTTGAAGGTGTGTTCTCTCAAATGCAAAGGACACTAACCTCTAATTACTGACAAAATACAGTAACTGCCCTGAGGATCAGATTCTCATAACTGCATCCTCAAAAATTTATTTCTCTACATTACTTCATAGGAGTTGAGTTTAAACTGGATTAAACAAAACTGATCACGTTTATCTAGGTAATTTCTGTATTTCATAGACTCGTTAAGGCTGCAAAAGACCACTAAGATCATCTAGTCGAGCCATCGAGCCATCCCCCCCATGCCCTCTAGGCCATCTCCACATTTCTTGTACACTTCCAGGGATGGTGACCCCACCACTTCCTGAAGCAGCCTGCTCCAATGCCTCACATCTTTCTGAGACAATTTTTTTCATATTTCAGGTCACTTTTTACAGGGAAAAAAAAATGATCATTTTTTCCTAGTAACACAGAAGCAATAATCTCTTGAGTAGGGCCTTAACAAATCTTTCCTTGAATATATCCACTGCAATTCCTTTTCCAATGAATTTAGTGTGTCAAGTTCCTCACAGTTAGATACTTTATTTCTTTATTAATAACTAAAAGGCTTCAGACACTGATCTGAAACACACAACACATCCAGTACAATTCAAAACAGAGACTTAACTACAAAATAAGGTAGGGTCCCTTTAGTTTGCTAAATAAAAGCAAAGCTTCTTACAAATCTGGAATTCTACTAAAAAGTCAACAGCAAACAGGAATTCTAGAAATAATTACTTAATTTAACTTAAGCATTCAAATTCCTAAGCAGAACGAGACTTACACTTGGCATCTGGAATATTATGATATGGTGACCATACGAGCATCCCTCCATTATCTTTATCAGTGTATTTTGTGGCACCTGTAAGAAAACAAGCAAGTCTTAGTGTTAATAAAAACATTCTAGAGAACAGCTGTTCATGGGACACTAAGTTAAAAGTCAACCACCTTGAGAAGCCCAACTCAACTAAGGTTTTGATTTCCATAGCCATGTGATTTTGATGTTCACAGCCAACCAATCTGCGCTGCTATAAACGGTAGACAGATTGAAGGCTCTTTTTCTCCTCTGTTTCTGCTTCTTCTCTGCCTGAACCATAGCAAGGGAAGCAGTTCAAGTGACAAATCTTTCAGGGGGACAAAGCAAGTTTTGCAATGTTGATGTGACTTTGTACAAAGTACAAAAATGTTTCAGTCTCTTTGATTTGAAAACATGTGTTTAAAGGAATTGCTCAATACTGGAAAAGCATCAACTAATTAATAGTATGGGTATTCTATTTTATGGGTATTTCACAAATGTATTCAATATTTCAACTTCTGAAGACATCACTCAACAACTGGAGCATTTACACCACTGTCAGCATGAACTTCTTGAGGAAGCACCTTGGGGAAACTCTACTCGCATCTTTCCTGGAGAAGAATATTTATTTATTCCCTCAAATAAGTAATTTTTCACTCCGGTTTAAGCTCTCATCCTTGATATTTAGATTCTACATGTTGTTGAGAAACAAAGCAAAGAATGAACAGTGCTTTGGAAGAGATAACTACTTGGTGCCTCCTAATCATATGCTAAGCTCTGTTGTTTTTTGCTGTTCAGTTTGGCAGCGTTCTGAAGTTGCTATCATCTTTGCAGTCTTTAGATCCATTATGATTGTAAACTCAAAAACTCAATTAGAAACACTGAATGAACTCCTGCGTCTGCTGAAACACAGGTAACTGTAATAAGTTTAAGAACTTATTGCGGTACACGGAAGCCACAAAGCATCCATTTCAAAGCGTAACACACCAAAAAACCCCCACCCTCTCCAAGTCTAGCACAAGAGCAAATTCTATAGCATAACATTAGAAAAAGAAAGTAGGAATTTTTTAGTCATTAGGAAAGCAATATTCTCACGAGGAGTGATGCAAACATGTCGCCGCTGTACCACCTCTTCATCCAGTTGTTTTCTATCAGAAAAGAACGATCGTTGCTCTGTATCCCACTCTCTAAAAGTAGAAACTAGGATGACCACTAGAGAATACATCAGTTTATCAGGCTCTCTCCTTCTGTATATCAAATGCCCGAACTTAATGTGACCAGACCCTCAGTTTTCCCTTAAGAAAATAAAGTAATAATCCTGACAGACACCTGCAGACATGTTTATGTCAAGGACACTGTCAGCTATTGAATACTGAAGTACTCCGGTTAACAACCTACGTCCTGAGCCCTGCCATTTATGCCTCCAGGAGGGATCCCTCCAACTCCATAAGCAAGATTAGGGTTTTTCTTTATGAAAACCACTTCTTGTACTTTGTGTCCAAGTGTTTGAGTGAGCAGCACTCTCCCACTCCTAAATAAAGGCTGAACTGCTTCCCAAAGGCGGCGTGCTTATGATGGGCAGAGGCTGGAAATAGCAGGCAGCACCTTACCCACGGCAGGTAAGAAGAGCAGAAGCGTATGCCAATAAGGAAGACAAAATCCATTAGCTACACCTCAGACACAAGTCTCCCCTCCCCAACCACACTGAGCTACTTTGGAGAAGGTTTCTGCACTTTGGCTGCTGCCAATGCTGTCAAGAAACAGTGCTGGCTGGAGATGACAGTAAGCACTCCCTACGGCTTCTGTAAGGGAGCAACCACAGCACCAGACTGACAGCTGCTACACTGCAGTTTAGCATTAGCAGAAGTCAGGTGTGCTTGGAAAACACCGCTCTGTACGTGACTATAAGTACTGAGACTAAGATGAGTATCTGGAAACATACGTGACTTAATAATGGCACCGGGGGTGTCTGGTAATTTAACTTTGAAACCCAAGGACTGGACGTCTTAAAATAAATAAATTGGGGACTGCGAGGACAGATGACATCGAACACAAAGAAACTTCTACGTATTTCACCAGGCTATTTCATTACTTCCCTTTAACAGACTCCATTTTTACATAGGAAGGTTAGAAGGAGAAAGATTAGAAGGATGTACAATGAAATGAAATCCATAAGCAACCTTAAATGCTCCAACAATCCTTCTCCACTCACCCCCCAAGAACAGGGTAAATGGAAGAGCAGCGTTTCAGCACTAAGCAAGCAGAACTCATACTAAAGCCTTTGTGAACTCTCATTGTACCACGGCCTGCCTGAGTCAGGACAGCATTGATTCTTCAGCGTGAAATAAAACTCCACAGGCAACCATATCACAGGGGCAGCCATATCACGGAGGTCACACAACAGTACAGCACCTTTCCAGCAGTGGCATTCTCCATGGCTCTTTCCCTAAGAAAGAAATTGGACAGCCCCCAGTGAGGACCCAGCACCGTGATACCCTGCTATGTAGATGGGTGGGTCAGAAAGCCGAGGCAGAACGTTTTGCCTTGGAAATATGAAGTACTACAGGGAAATCAACAGGAGGAGACCAAAACCTGGGGCGCAGGAGATGGTTCATTAACTCAGCAAATTAGGAGAGGGGATCTAGGGGCTTTATTTTATTAATGCCATTTATCACAGCAAGTAAATGGATCTCATTGCTGTTACATCTAGTGGTGATTCCAAGTGCCATTCCCACATCAGCTCTGGCTCAAGGCTTGCCTCTGCAAAGGGGTGATGGGTAGAACATGGGAAGAGCACATTTCAGCTTCTCCCAGCTGCTGTGTTCAGCCACTTCTTGCCCCAAGAGACCAGCAAATAGCTGATTAACCTCTTTTTTAAACAAATTATCTTCAACATTTTCCATCCTGAGTTCACCTATAATACTGCCACAACTCTAACCATGAATGTTTTCTTCCTCAACACATTGTTGCAAAGCGTCACTCACCAATATTTACAAACTGACAAAGTGAGGCCAAAGGCTCCCCTTCGGGTTCTGCTCAGAGTTCTGTGGGCTTTGACACCACCCAGTTCTATCTGGGATGGACTCCTGCCTCACAACTACCTTGTTAAAGAAGCATTTGAAATCAGGTAACCAAACACATATCCCAGCATAACGGGCAGACTGTCAGGAGAAAGGGACTCAGAGGAACTGCAAGAGGAAAAATCATGGAAGTGAGTAAATTAGAAATTATGCCTATATCCACTTATGCAAACCCACAGGTACAATGGAAAGTCCATTTGCTACATCAAAATACAATAAAAACAAGCACACCAATAATAATGCAGGTGTATATGTGACAGGACAAGAGCTCAGCTTTGCGCCCAGCATCCCTCAGAGAGGCCACCCCAAGAGCCAGCAGGAGAGAACACGGGATCTTGCTGAGAGCTCCTCAGTTTGGTAACACAGTAAGGATGCATCCTGCTTTTACACACTGTGAAGTTTTCTGTGTAATGTAAAATTTTGCTGTTCCAAAGGAGTCACCATCCGCTCAGCCCAAGGATCGGGGTTTGTGCACTCAGAACAATGCTATATGCCTCTTCTAGAAGAGTTAACCAAAGGCGAAAGGAAGGCCGTGCATTTTTCCAGGTGGCCTGTAGGAAAAGCAAGCCCAGGCTGCACATTAGAGGTGATCATTTTTATTTATTTCCACGGAGGCGGCGTTAAAAGGAGTGGTGCGGACGGCGGGCCCCATTAACAAAGGCCCCGGGCAGGCGCCCCTCTCGGGGAAGGGCATTCCCCGCGCCCGGCCCGCATCCATCCCCCCGCCCGTGGTCTGCGGGGACCCGCGCCCAGCGCGGGGGCCGGGGCCGAGGAGTCACTGCGAGGAGCTGCGGCCCAATCCTCTTCCGGTAGGAAATCATCTGACACCCGCGGAGCCTGTTCGGAGAGCAGCGAAGTCAACGGTTCAGCCGAGCATCCCCCGGCCCCGCGGCGCCCCGAGCGGGCGGCGGGCAGGAGGTGGCCGCGCACGACGAGGCCGGGCCGCGCTCGGGGCTCACCCCGGGCAGATGCACAAAGCGGGACGGAAATCACAAACCCGCCCGACGCCCCGCATCCCTCCCAATCCCGCACCACGCGCATCCCTGCAATCACAAGGAGGGGGGAAAAAAAGGAAAAGAAAAAAAAAAAAAAAAAA